CTTTTTTACGTATATGCCTCGCCTAAGTTCGCCTAGCCCTGAGCTTGGTCTCCACGCATTGCCATGCATTACGCCTTTTAGAACACTGATTAGAACTAATGAAATTCGTGAAATTTTTGACTTAAATAATTGAATTTCATTTAAAGTATTGAATTCTAAAAAAAAAAAAATTAAATGGGGCAGGACGAGGAATCCATTACCCATCTCCGCCTCGAATACCCGATTAAACGGGTAATCCCCACCTCAAATATCGGGTTTGTTGGATTTTTTTTGCCATCTCTAGACCAAATAATGGTGAGATGAGAAAAACTTCACTAATGGTACCCATGAGAAATTGCAACCAGAGATTAGATGAGGTGACCCCATTTACAGCATGAAAAATGCACAACAAATGTTAGATCCTTAGGCATTTTACTTGAGGCCCCCCGCCCCTCACTTCCTGATAAGCTCTTATATTGTTTATGAAATTCTCTTATAATAAAATCTCATCAAGGAATGCCCCCCGGCCTCTAAAATCTGTTTCAATGACAAAACGATCATAAATGTTAAAATTTGGGATTTCATCTTAAAATGTCTACCTTATTAAAAGGAGGAGATCAATCATTTATAAGTTTGTCTATATTTTCATTTTTATTCGGTGTGAGACTTTATCCCTTAACATGCCTCGCAAGATGGTGACTCATTTGAACAGATCAATCTTGAAATTCATGTGTTTATTTTTTGAGTTTTAATCGAATCAAATTGCTCATTGAAATTTAATGGACTCTGATACCATATTAATATTTGAGATTCCATATTAAAATGTTAACTTTATTAAGAAGAATCGTTCAAGCCCTTATAAGTTGGTCAATGTTTTCGTCTTTATTTGATATGAGATTTTATCTCTTAACATGATCTCGTAAGATGATGATTCGTTTGTGCAAATTAATTTTGAAATCCGCATGCTTATTTTTTGGGATAGATATGCTCGTTGGAGCTTAACCACATCGAATAAAGATGAATATATAAATCAACTTACGAATGATTGGATCATTGCTCTTAATAATAAATACCCACTTTAACTGATAAACCGAATATACTGTATACATCAATCTTTTTCTAGGAAATCTTCAACTTATGAAAGAGAACCACTACCAACAGTCGAGAAAATTATACACCTGAAATAGGAACTAATAAAGAGACACGTGGTCCTATCCCATAGAAGGGCTATATATATAAATATCAGTCTCTTCAAGTTCAAACTCGTGCTATCTTTCTCTTAATTTTTTGTCTTCTTGTTATATTTCTTTCACCAAGAAAAGACATGGTGGTGGCCTCGCCAAGCCCAATTCGAACCGAAAAAATACGAGACATTGAACTTCCAATCATAGACCTTTTGGCTGAGAGGTCACAGGTTTCAAAACTTCTTGTGAAAGCATGTGAAGAATTTGGTTTTTTCAAGTTGATCAACCATGGAATCCCAGATGACACTATCAAGAAAATGGAAGAAGAAAGCTTCGAGTTTTTCGCAAAACCGGCTTTGGAGAAACAGCAAGCAGGGCCAGCTGATCCATATGGTTATGGCAGCAAGAACATAGGATTCAATGGAGATAGAGGAGAAGTTGAATATCTTCTTCTTCGTACTGACACTCTCTCCATCTCTCACAAGTCAAAAACTATATCCAATGACCCTAACAAATTCAGGTACTTGCACTTCTATGTTCTTTATGTAATATTGGATAAGATTGAACAATAAAGAAAACAAGATTTTGGTTTCGCTTTCGTCAAGTAGCATGCAATCTATAGTATACGTAATATTATGTTGTGTTTTCTTAATAAAATTTTTGTCCCACCTAACTTGCTAAGGCAATTTTTTATCTGACATCCAACATTTTTGCACATCTAAAAACCTCCATATTTTTTTGTGTGTGTATGCGTTTGCATCCATATGATGTCTATTTATGAATTTACATGAGCAATAAAAAGAAAAGAAAAATGTAAATCATGTGTATTTATACTGGTTTACCCTGAGTGTGAAAGTTGTGTCCACTAGTTGTTGTAAGTTTTAAATTTAGGGAAGAAGATTACGACAGCATTGTTAAGCTTCTTAGTCTATGTTTCAGAAATTCGTCTTCAATCCTTTGAAAATCGTAAAAATAATATCAACTTGCACTTAAATAAATAAGTGTACTTGATCATTAGACTCAATGTCAATCACACAAACCATGGGGGTGGCTTGATTTTTATTGCAAGTCGACATTTGACCTAAGTACTATGCAGCAGTGTCTTGGAAAGAATAGCATAATTGTCAATTTCGTATAAAACCATGTTCTTAGAATCAAAATGTGAAGTTCGTCGATGATGAATGTTAGACCAACAGTAAAAGCTGATTGTTATTTATATCTAATTCAAATGGAACATACGAACTGAATAGGTCGAAGTTTTGATTCTTCATTCTTAACTCAAAAATAGAATTGTGTTTTTGGATTTGTTATTGGCTATTTTTGTGCATTGTGACAGTTTTGCAGTGATAGGTTATATAGAATCAATTAGGAACTTGGCATGTGAAATCTTGGATCTGATGGCTGAGGGCTTGTGGGTCCCAAACACCTCAGTATTCAGCAGGCTAATAAGGGACGTTGACAGTGACTCACTTCTCAGGCTTAATCACTATCCACCATTCAATCCCAAGAATGATGGTGACAGGTTAGCAACCTCTTTCCACCATCAAATTGGGTTTGGAGAGCATACTGACCCACAGATCTTGACTATCTTGAGATCCAACGGTATAGAAGGCCTTCAAATCTCATTGGAAGAAGGTGTTTGGGTCCCCGTCTCTCCTCATCCAACTGCAGCCTTCTGTGTAAATGTGGGTGACTTATTACAGGTGGGTCGCACTTTTTCTATCTGAATCTATCTTATCTTTTCCAGTCATACATAAAAATCATAACCCATGTTAAAGAAAAAGTTGAATTGATAGATCGATACAAGAACTGAACCTGAACTCAGTGGTACAAGTACAACCACAGATAGTGCACCGGATATGATGGGATAAGAGTTGATCGGACTGTGGCTTCTGATCAAGGGTCCCATCATATGCATCGTTCAATCTTTATACATTCTTAAATGTAACTCTTTGGATTCTAATTAATGTTACCTATGGTGTGTTTTGTTAATTATGTAAGGCTATGACAAATGGAAGGTTTCTGAGCGTGAGACATAGGGCTGTAGTGAACTCATGCAAATCGAGAATGTCAATGGCATACTTTGGGGCTCCATCTCCACGTGCAAGGATTTCTTGTCTCCCTAACTTGGTTGCAACACAGAAGCCTCCTCTGTATCGAAGCTTCACTTGGGCAGAATTTAAGAAGGCCACATATTCTCAGCAACTGAAAGAAAGTCGTCTTAACCTTTTCAAGATGATAAACGATGACCAAAATGGAGAATGAGTTGATTGGAGAACACGGTTTGTTTGCTTTCAATCTCTGAGATTTCGAGCATCATTATCTATGAAGTATTTGTATACCCTTTACGCTCTACATCAAGACAGTTCATTTCTTCACTGCCATACTCCAGCTTGGTAGCTTTTACCGTTCAATCTAAAACAATTGTTACTTATTGTCTTGTATAATAATTTCAGAAATATTTTCTCTGATGAGCTCCAATCATGCTGTGAATGAAGCAATTGCTATAAAGAATGAGAAGCCAACACAAAAGCCGCGAAATTTCAATAATAATGCAAGTTCAGTGTCAACTTGAAGCGCACATGGCTTCAAATAGTTGGACTGCTCCAAAATACAAAACACTAAACAAGTTGTAATGTGAACATATAGAATCTTGGGGGCAACAGAATCTGAATGTTCAGAAAGTCTTATTTTTGTCATGTCCTGCATGCCACTGTGCTTCTAAAGAACCAGACGAGGCTATTAGCATTTGGAAATATGCTGAAACTTAGAGAGCTGTTCGAGATCGGGCAGCAATGCGAGAGCACTTCTTTCGCCCACTTTTACCGAGCCCACATACACAGTTCTCCAGGAGCCCATAATCCTCATTCCAAAACAATAAGGAGGCTGACTCCGGATTTTCTAGAAGCATTTTTGAAGTTAGGTATCCAGCAATTGTCCATGTCTGATGAAGTCGAGATTGTTTTCCTATAAAACTTCCATATCTCGTGTCATAATATTCTGGCCACTGATCCACCGAAAGCCTCTTTTCAGCCAAAGCAGCCGCCTTTCTGGCTAACTGAGGTCTTCCCATCTTAATACAAGCCAAAGTGAACTGAAACATCAAACATCAAAAACTTAGGCGAGAAAGAACAAGCAAGTCTAGATATTACCAATCTCCACAATTGAAGAAAATTATTGAAGCTAAAATGCTGAAGAACTTGTTTGGGATAACTTCTACTCTTTGTAGAAGAGTTACCTGAGGAAATCACCTTAGACCACTCTTTTAACCAAATAAAGCACTTCCAGAATATTATCCAAACATACCTAAAAGTAACTTTTTAATCTTAGAAGTAGCTTCTAACTTTTAAAGCTTTGCCAAACGGTCCCTAAGTCATTTCATGGAATCTTCTTGTGCTCAAGATCACGATGAAATGACAAAGTCCATCTAAGTTCTGTTTGGGGGTAAAAAGCTTGAGCCCCGTTTGAGTCACGTTAAAATTTTCATCATCATTCTTCTACTCATTTTCAATCACACATTTTTCAATAAAATAATATTTTTCATCACGTCAATAACTTTTCCTTCTTTTTCAACCACAAATTCTCAATCAATTTACTATTCCAAAATACATTCTTTCAAAATAATGTGGCTCAAAACACAATAACATCATTTTAAACTTAGCCGAACATGTTTCATAACTTAATGATTCATAATAAGCATACCTGCCAAAGCAGCGTTGGCCACGAACCGCCATTGTGATATGACCATGGACTGCAGGAAAACATTTTGATTAAACTCCAAAAAGTGATCACTTTAACGAATATAATGCAATGTTCTTACTTGTACAAAAGATACGTGAATATGAAGGATAATACTAGTATCTTACGTATACTTAGGATCGCCTCCTGTGATTATACGCCATTCATCGTTCTCCAGAGCAGGGTAACATATCTTGAGCGGCATTATATAAATAAATAAACTGTTCACCAAAATTTTAAAGATTAACATGTTTGACACATATCCATTCAAAATATATTCTTTCAATACTCATTTTCAACCACACATTTTTCAATAAAATAATATTTTTCATCACGTCAATAATTTTTCCTTCTTTTTCAACCACAAATTCTCCATCAATTTACTATTCCAAAATACATTCTTCCAAAATAATGTGGCCCAAAACACAATAACATCATTTTAAACTTAGCCGAACATGTTTCATAACTTAATGATTCATAATAAGCATACCTGCCAAAGCAGCGTTGGCCACGAACCGCCATTGTGATATGACCATGGACTGCAAGAAAACATTTTGATTAAACTCCAAAAAGTGATCACTTTAACGAATATAATGCAATGTTCTTACTTGTACAAAAGATACGTGAATATGAAGGATAATACTAGTATCTTACGTATTCTTAGGATCGCCGCCTGTGATTATACGCCATTCATCGTTCTCCAGAGCAGGGTAACATATCTTGAGAGGCATTTGTGCCACAAGATCACTCCATTTGTCCTCGATCAGATTTAAAATACCTTCATTCTGTTCAGTAGTGCCCAGTGATGATATGATGGCCCAAAGATTACCCAGAGTGAAAAACCTAAAATCCATATGAGCAGGTTGTAAATTGCCGATGAAATAGCCACCAGCCTCAGGAAACCAATCTACGAGCCAACGAGGGATTTGATCTGGATATATATTGAACTTGTTGACGGCATCTGTGGAGTATTCCTCGGTCTTATAACGATATATCTCATTAATTTTCTTCATATCTACCCAGTAGTACTCTCGCATGTGAAACGACAATGCACTGAGTCGGTTATTGATAGCCGCAACAAGATTCTTGGTTGAATCATTAACAATAAGCATCTCACGGGCACATCGCAAGGCAGAGTAAAATAAAGCCTACAAATCCCAAATATAAGATTACCAGAAAAACTCTGCTAAAGCAAATTTATTCTTGACATACATGAAATCACATTCCAGATAGTTGGCTCAAGACAACAAAGGGTGTTATTCATATAGGTTGATAGAACTGTTTTTACTCTTCTTCTTTATTTATTTATTTTTTTTCTTTTTTCTTTTTTCTTTTCCATCTTTTTTACAAGAATAGGTTATGGACAACAACATAACTCTTTTGTCTAGTTTCAAATCGGTTTCTCGTATCTCACTCTCCATTGTTACAAGGTTGTACAATTCACAAGAAAGAGAACAATCATTTTTTATTTTTTTTTTTAACACTAGATTTCAGTTTCAGAAGCTAAATGAGTTCTCTAGGTAAGAGAAATATTAAATTGTTAGAACATTTCTTGTAATGCTTAATACTATCAGAACACCCCGAACACTTGCCCAGGATCAACTTTCAGATCCTAATTGCTCTAAATATAACAACCACCTTTTAGGATTTTTCACCAAAATCACTTCCACATAAATTCAAACACACACTAAAACAATAGATTCAAGTCCCTTCCTCAGAAGCAGGCAAATCTTTTTTTTTTCTTACACAAGTCCACAGAGCTATTACTGAAAAGATCAAAAGGCTTTAGGAGTGAAAAGGAGACTTCCTCATAAAAAATCACATTTTAGGTCTTAAGCGATTATCGACAACTATAGAGAATATTAATTTGCATGTTTTTGTTCGTATTAAGTCCCAAACCAAGACAGAAGAATAATATTGTGGTAAGTTAATAAATAATAAGATATATAAAAATTTGCATACCAATGGCCAAAACATACATTTCTTATATATTTAGAAACTGTTACATGAAAAAGTCTGTTATTCAAGAAAAAGCAAATGAGATATTCCATTACTAGAAAGTTTATAAAAATCCTTGTTTAATATGTAATTATGTGGTTGCACAAGGTAAATCGCCTATTTATTGCCTATTAACAGAAAATACTACATCCCAAGGTTCGCCAAAAATACTGTACTAACTTGGATTTCAAGAGGGTGACCATGTACGCCCATCCTTCTATCAATCATGCAGGAGCCATCAGTCACTAGCAGCGTGGGAAACATATCAAAACCATCAGTTAAGCACAGATTGAGTATCAATCTTATGCCTGTCTGCACATCCACCCTCTCTTGCAATGTATTGTCTCCCGTGATTTTCCCATAGGCTCTTAATAAAATAATCCACCACAACCCTAAAATTATATATACAAGCAACTCATATTACTCCGAACATTCCTCACGGGGTGCTAATAAATGAGCATAGGAACAATGTGGAAAGGAGTCGCACTAAAATTACAGAAAAACAAACAATTTGAAGAAAGGCTGTATAAGAGATGTATTTAGCAACAAGGCAGAAAGTTGTTGAACTACAAGTGACAATAGAAATATTTTCTAGAATCTAATATCAGTCATACCGGAATCAACTGGTGCAACACGCCCAATAGCTGATTCACCAAAATCTGGATCTAAAACATCCTCAAATTCTCCATCTCTTCCATTGAGAGGCACAGCTCTAACTTTGAAACTTGCTGGCATTAACCCTTTCCCGGGGGCATAGCAATCTACATTTTTTTCCCAACTCTAATTGAAACATTAAAAGACTGAATTTAGATTTGCAGAAAACAATATTCTTCAAAGATGAGATTTTTTTTTTTTTTGCATCAGTTGGTGATAACAAAAATATTCGAACAGATAAAAATACAGAGGAATAACTGTCTTGATTAACTTATGATAACTGAAAAAAAAAAGGGTAATTACCTGTAGCTGCAGAGTATGGTGCAGAAAATTCTTGACAATCTCGCCTTCTCCATTAAGCAAGAATGCAAGAGCAGTCGGGACAAAATCACGAATAAAGACTTGGTCGTAGTTCAGAGGCTGCTTATCAGCTGGATCATTAGCTGCAACAGTCCCCACCGGGCTGCCACAATAATTTACAACTGCTTCACGGAGCAATTTCCAAGCCTCTTTCTCCACCTCGGAAACCTGTCTCTCGTGGGTCGATTTTAAAACCCTTGACCCACTTAATTCCCTATCTCTAACCTCGTCGATATTTACATTAGAAACATCATCTACCTTTTCCTTCTCTTTTCCTAAATCTTGTCTATTTTCAATCCTATCATTCACTAAAGGCTTCACATTCAAGCCCCCTTGAATGTAAATATTCTCGAAACTCTTTTCATTAACGCGAGAATCAATAGACGTTGAATGGTTCCTAACATCCGATCCCAAGTTTGATAAAACATGGAAAAATCTATTTTTTCTACGAACCAATTTGCTCGAAGAAATTCTAGATTTCCCCCAATTCGAATCGGATCTGCTAAAAACCCTCC